TTTTTCAATGATGTTTATTCAAATAGGGATATATTGAGGTCTAAAAGCCCTTTGCGATTCTCATTTCTCTTTCGCTCTGTTGTAATTCTTTCAATAACAAAAATGTAGTGTTCTCATACTGGCTGCGTGATCTCGCAGAGAAACCCCTCATAAGTTGCCAATATGAAAGCTTGATTTACGAGGCTATGACGAAGGTTAGGACAACCCTGGATGAGCATAGCGAAGCCCCAGAAAAGTTGTATTTCATAAGAGAGATTCAGACTTCCACATATAAATATAAAAATCTCGTCTTCTGGACAAAACAGCTTGCAACTCGTTTTATTGCAGAAGAAATTGCGATAGTAAGGGTATCCTCATAAACTCATCTTTCTGGAAATATATTTTGTTGGAAATGTTTATATTGTGACGCTCAGGGCGCCCGTCGGCACTCATTGTTGTTTTTACAGCGTCTGAATACGTCCCTTATGACGTGCTCACCCACTCTTTACAGGCTTCAAATGGGGTTTAATGCTAACAATCTTGTAGCTAATGCATAGAACATGTTAGAACACTTGTACAACAATTACCATTTTCTAATTTCCATTTGCTGTGATGGTATACCTTCAAGATATTCGAGTTGAACATATCTAGATCAAAATTTGGGGAACTGTTCCCTTCTTCCTCTCGTTCTCTTCTGCTACTCCAAAATTGGAGACTTTCCACTGGCTTGTGGTAGCCTATCTGGTCTAATGTTTCGTATCTTGTTGAAATTTCTGTGCGATTATACTGGGTAATTTTTTTTTCAGAAGAATCGACAACACGTCCGGATGACGTCGCTTTAATCATGTACACATCTGGTACCACTGGAGCGCCAAAAGGTGTAGTCCTGCTGCAGAAGAACATTGTCGCCGCCGTTTGTGGACAAACGAACGGCGTCGGGATCATAGGGTACGATATTGTTCATGTCTTCGATTCTCCTTGAATTTTATCTGTTATTAAGTCATACTGACACCTACATCGGCTATCTTCCTTTGGCGCATATTCTTGAACTCGATGCTGAATTGACAGCATTGTGTTGTGGATGCAGGGTAAGCATTGTTTTTAGAG